TGGGTGTGGTGGGTGGTGGTGGAGGAGAGCGTGGTGGGGGGGGGGGGGGGGGGGGGGGGGGGGGGGGGGGGGGGTACTTTAAGAATTTCTGGGTGGGGATTTGTTGCTGGGACCCTGGAACCTTTAACCAACACCAGAGCTAGTTCAGCTGAATTTTGCTTCGCTATACTAGAGTAAACTCCCCAAATCCCCCCTATCCTAGAGTACCTGTTTTCCAGAAACTAATGAGGTCATTAGCACAGTCTAGCCTAAACAAAACATTATACTACAACCCCTAGTCTAGATAAAATCTTCAACCAACTGACCAGTTTCCTAAAAAATGATACCCTCCTACCCTAACGCTCTGGGTCTAAGGTGAACACTATTGCAATTGGGACTGGCAAAAATGTCTGTATTAGTGGACAAGTGTAACTCTTATAGAGAGTAAAAGAAAATTACTTGGAAAAATAGTGGGGCGCAACTCGATTTCGTGGAGGTGCCTTATCTTTTCATTACACTACTGTTTACATTTCTATTATCTTATCACTTGTCCAACTGTAGTGCGTAATATTGGACTTAGCTCAATATTAAGGAGTTTAGAGAAGAATACTGAAGTACACCTGTGCAACAAATCCAAACTTTAATAGTGAAAACATTCAAAAAGCAAAAGCTTAACAATTCTTAACCTTAATTTTTACATAATGTTAAACGGTGATAAATTTTATATAACATAACAAAAACTTAGCTTGATATGTTTTGATATGGTGGCGTTGTACTACTTCAAACTTTGCTCCTCGAGTGCAACGCGCCATGGCGATTCGCGCATTGTGTCGCAAATCCGGTAACTGCATGTAAACAAAGTTTATTGAAAGAGAATTGTAAGGTTTTTTCTCCATTTTTCTTTCGAAAACAAAACCAAGTAAACAGCAAAAACTGAGGGGAAACTAATTTTGAAGTTCCGAAGAAACAGAAAGACGTATGAGATGTTTTGTGACAATAAAGGGAAGCGTGATGTTCAGGGGCGGATCCAGGGGGAGGGTGCAGGGGGTGCGCACCCCCCCCCTGGGATGACCTGCGGCCGCTTTCTAATTAACACTGTGCAGTAGCTTGACAGACATACAAAATCTGCTCTATCGTTTGATATGTATTCTCAGCATGCAGTTTACATTACGTTATTTCCTAGTCAAAAGCCCTCTTCTTCGTATTCGCTTTTAAAATTTTTTACGTCATCGGTCAGTTAGTGGTGCGCCCCCTCCTAAGAAAAATCCTGGATCCGCCCCTGATGTTGACTTCAATTAATTAACCATATTTAACCTTGCACGAGTTGCACGCATTTATATAATACACGTCATGTAGTTATGAAACGCCATCTGCTGTCTTTTAATACTTTTGCCGTGGATGAGGTTTTGCTTCGTGTTTTAGACAGTTTTTCGTTTCTTTTGGAAGAACATCGACAGTGGCGAGTAAAAGAATGGAAATATATAAATAATTTATATATTCAGTTTCCGTTCTTTTACTTGCCACTGTCGATGTTTGGTTGGTAAGGAGGCCAGTCTTGGAAGAAACCAGAGAAGCCATTGTAATCAGCAACTCATAATTTGATCCCAGTCCACTAAATCACACCTTTTTCTCGGACGCGTTCGTTTCACCGCCCAACCTTTATCCGCCCTGGTATACAGTGGCAATATGGGCGCGATAGCGCCCATCAGGACTGCGAACGGCGCACTTTTCTAGAGAGTTTTGGGTGCATGCTCTTCCGGGAAAATTTTTGAGATTGAGTTTCTCTGAGATGCAATCTAGTGCATTCTGGACGCTTAAATTTCTCAAATGCCTAGATTCCATTTTGAACATGTAATGCTGAAATATGTAATAAGCCAAAGGTGTGGTTGTGGTCAAAGAAGTAATTAACACTTTATAATGCTTGTAGGGGCCGAAGCGACTGCGGCGAGAGCACAACCTCCCGGCAAAGCAACAACATTGTCTCCCTGAAAAATTGTCAAATCCAGTTTGTTTGAGATGAATATTTACTGCATGTATTCTGGGAGCTCTGGTCATTTGCGACTAAAAAAGTAGATTCTTTTCTTATTAACAATGTTTATTAAAGAAAATATATTTATTTAACCAAGCTCAAAGTACCATCTGGCACACGTTTACAAAAGAAAAAAAATCCTGGACAAAAGGGGGTGGGGCCCGGGGCCCACTGGGCCCACCCCTAAATCCGCCCTTGGCTTCACACTTCAGTGCGCACAGACCCACCAATAGCTGGCTTTCCTAGGGAATTAATTTTATAGCCACGTAGCGCTTTTATAAGGTTCCTGAAACTATAGTTAACTTGCTAAAATATAATCGAAGTGCTGTTTTACAAAATGGGACTAACGTAACGTTTTTGGCATTTTGTACGACCTCTATTTTTTAAAAACGTGAAAACGTAAATATTTGTTTAGTTACTCGTGAAACACAAAATTGTTGTTTGTGGACTCGTGATGAGACCCCCTCTTGCTCCTCTTCTAAGTACGACTAGTCAAGATCATTCAAGTGAAAAGATCATTCAAGTGAAAAAGGACCCGTTCACACACTAGTTAGTCTCAAATTTACTTCAAATGCTCTTCAAGTGCACTTGAAAAGTCCAGTGTGAACCCACCAATTATTTTTATTTATTTATTTTTTGCTTATAGAAATTTATAAAAGTCCCGACTGAAGTCGTGGCTCAACCTCCTGGCTCAAGTTCTGCCTTTAAAGAAGCACAGTAAATTGCCAGAAAAATAAAAAATAGAGAGGCAGAGAGTAAAAGACAAAGCGACAGGCAAACGTTGAGACTGCTATGTCACTTTTACCCCCTAAAACTAATTCGACAAATAATTATTTTGATTCCCCGTAGAAGTTTATTTTGGTTACACACAACTTTGGAGACTTTGTCTGAAATTTTACCAATCTTACTAATTCGTATTTTAATATTATTTTTTAAAGTTAAAACGCGAAAAGAAAACGAAGACAAGGAAGTCGGCATAATACATAAATTGCTCTTTGGTAATCCTCTTTATGCTGTGTCTGTTCATAATGAAAGTGCTTCCTAAAAGATGAAAGAGAAAAAGTGGTTAATTCTCTCTTGATTCGAAATGAGGGCGTGATCTTTACCCTCCCCCAATATGGCAAAAAGGAGGAACGGTTCTTTCCTCTTTTATTAGGCATCCCCTATTCCACATTTTCCCGTTTTCTTGCCACTTAAGGAGACTAAAAGAAAAAGTTTCATGTTTAGATGACCATAGCCCGGCTACTTTTGGTGAAAATCAAAGAAAGCGAATTGAAGAAGGAGCCATGTTATGGGCTCCTGTCACCGGAAGACATGCGCATATCACAGCCAAAAAACTGTACAACAAACTGTGTATAATTGTACCATGCTTACTTTATTGTAAACATTATTTTCATGAAAGTACGGACTGATCATGGGCTCTTGTTTCAAATGCCTTATTTTTACAAGCCACCCCCGCCTATTAAGAAACCTTCGGCTTATTAAGAAAATTTTCTAGCTCCCCATTGCAACCCCTTAATAGTAAAAACAACAATAACAACAACAATAATAATGATACAATTTAAACAACTAGGACTAATATAATAATTTACTAACAATGTATAAGAAAAGTTATGAAATTAAAATAAGTAACAGTAGGAATATATAAAAAGCTTTAAAGTTTAAACGCATCCGGCTTTGATGGTCTTTGATGAGATGACCACCTTTTCGTGGTGGGGGTGGTTTGTGCATCCCCTTGATCCCTACAGCAATGTCGGCTGAGGTCTTTTACTCTTAGAAGGGCCACTCAGCCCGAAACAAATCGGAAGGCTCTGTGAGGACTGTGAAGGCCTTATCCTGCTTATCAGTGCAGCTCAAGGCACAAAGTAAATTAGGGAACGTAAAAAGCTTCGAAAAATTTACTACAAGACGTGAGAGTTATAGAAGCTAAAAAAGAGTAAAGCGTTTCTTCCTTCTTTATATCCCTCAACTCACAGCGGAAACCAAAAATGAACAGAAAAATTCATTCTAGTCTTCAGTCATGTGATACCCTAAGTTTTTCTCTTTGCTATCACCCTAGACTTACTCATGGAAATTGCAACGGTCCTTTGCTGTCCACGATAAGGCTTCAGATCGAGGGTGGACGATAAGGAGCTATAAAAGATAAAAAAAGTCAAATATGTGAAGATGTGGGGGTCAGACGCGCAGCCTGAGGAACAGTCATTACTTGACAAGGGAATACCTTGCAGGGGCGAAGCCAGTTTTTCAACTATTTGTAGGCCTGGCTGACTTTCATTTCCACATATCCTGAAAACTGCACGCATGACTAGTCTGACCTCACCAGCACTTTGACCTCTTAAGCTTTTTAGCTCACCCCCAACAACGCATAATTTATTACTGGGGGTAGAGTGAACAAACCAAAAACTTGCAGGCCTGGGTATACAGGTGTACATGTATGCCCCCGCCTCGAACACAAAATCCACTGTTGAATAACAAGGTGATGGGAGGGGTATCAGTTTTCAAGCGAAATTGAAAAATCTATAGAGTCTCAATGGTTTCCTCATTTGAGAATTAACATAACTCAGGAAAAGTTGACACAAGTAAGCAAAGGTCACTAAAACCTCTCTGACCCAACAATGTGTTTCTTTGAATTAAGCGAGGTTTCTCTTCCTCACTATTCATAAGGCATGTGTAAGTAATATATCTAAGGTTAAAAATTTGAGAAACGAAATCAGTTGTTAGAGTATAGAGGAGAGTAGAGGACGGCAGGTACATTTACCACTATAGTTTTTAGCTTGTGCACCTGTAGTCTGTATATCAAGTTAACTACTAGTAAGTGTTTTGGCCAGATGGTTTCAAGATAATTTAGAAAAAACAACAAAAAACGCATTTCTAAAAAGACACCACCATCAACAAAAATATTTCACGTATTATTTAGGTATAATTTGTATAGGTAATAGCATCATTTGTAGTGATATTTGGCATAAATACCACGAGTGATATTTCAAAATTGTTATACGTAATTTCACGAGCCGTTAGGCGAGTGAAATTTGAGACAATTTTGAAATATCACAAGTGGTATTTATGCCAATTATCACGTACAAATCCTGCTACTATTTGTTTATACTACTACCCGCGAAAGGTTGTAATTTTCACATGTAGGTATTTCAAATTAAGCTGAAATACCACTGCTCTAAGCCAATCATATTGCAGAAATTTCTCCTGTAGTAGTATAAAAGATTAAATTGCCACAAGTGCATTTTAAGTGTACTGTAGTCTAAAAACAGGACAAGAATAAGCTCAGATTACTAGGTCAACAAAATTGACTTGTCACAGGCATTTAAAATTTTTAAATTTAAAACGAGTGGCCGTATTAACGGGGTGAAATTATAAGAGATTCTACTGTATAGCATTTTAAAATGTGGCCGTTGGCCATATTAATGGGTGACTGCATTAATGGGTTTTTTGTTATAAGGAAATGTTAGGCCGTTTTGCCGGGCTGAAAAAAACTGGCCGTAATAAGGAGGTGTCTGTATTACTGAGGTGGCCGTAAGGCGGAAGTTCCACTGTATACACAAGTCATTGATGTGCTGAGCTCAACTGCTAACAGGTTGTTGATTTAATGTGAGTGACACTAAATTTATTGTTAATTTGTTGTTTTCTCTAAAGAGAATAAGAACAGAATTAATTTGTTTAAAAATTACTTACATTAGTAATCAAGAGGTATAAAATTGTAAAGATCCCTGAAAGGAATACATACCGATTCTAAGAGGAAATGTTTTACGTTTTGTTATACCATGGAGGACTGACACGCAAGTGTAATTTCCAGAGTCTGCTAATGTGACATTTTTTATCTCAAGTTTGGCAACCTTGATGTTGTGTTGAAAATCTCCCATTTGATACCATGTGACACGTATTCCATCCTCTATCTTAGGAGAACCGTCCTTTAAAAAGTAATTGTTAACAGCAGTGTTTTGAGTTCTGCAGGTTAAATTTACAGAAGTCCCAGTAACTGCTACACCCTGCATTCCTGTCTTTCCCTCTAGTCCAAAGTCCATTATGTACATTGGGCGTTTATCTTTTGCTATGAAAATCAAAACAAAATATTTGGTCATTTTATTGTTGTGTACTGATACTAGTTTGCTTTTTTATACATGAAGGTATTGCTACACATACACTCTTAATTGGTAAGCTTCAGTGCACACAGAATTAGAAATAAAATAACAACAAAATATTTCAAATGATAATTTTCCATTGATGCTTGAATTTTACTTACTTCTCACAGTCAAATAAGAGGATGCCATTGCTTGTCCCTTCTCATTTTGAACAAGGCAGGTATAGTTCCCAGCATCTGTGCTTAACACATTTTCAATTAGTAAAACGGTTCTGCATTCCAAATATGAATACCTAAAGTCCATCTGTCTAGTCAATGGTAAACCATTTAGTAGCCAAGTTACATTAGCTGCAAGATTAGAAACCACCTTGCACTGGAATTTAACATAGCTGTCATCTCTCACAACAATTTGTGAACTACCACTGGTCTTTGTAATTTTGGGAGGGCCTGTTTTGGTAGGCAGCCAAACAGTTGGTAGTATTGTTCCATTCTTACAACAGAGGTTTAAAAAGCCTGCACGTCTCTGCCTTTGTAAAGAGAAAGTATCTGAAAAGGAAGATATGGGAAAAAATCAATCGATTAATTAAGGAATAAGTGACATAATCCAAAATAGGTACCTGTTCTTATAATAATAATTAAGTATAGTACAAGCCTATATTCATTTTCATTACTAAAGGTTGTGAGAGTGAAAATGTATTTTATACCTATCTAGCAAGTTATTCCCTGGACACCTTTTCATCACACCACTATACACCCGTCATGACCATTTTTAACAATTGTTTGATTAAGTGGAGATATCACTGCTGGTTCATTTCTTTAAAGATGTGGTTGATTGGGTCGCAAAGCAAAGGGCTCGTTCATTGTTTTTTTTCCATTTTGTTTGAACTTTTTCGACTACAATGATATGTGCAACAACTCTGGACAATAACTGAGGGGTGGTACAGTGAAAGCATGATTTATTGGGCAATTCCAGAAAATATCCATACCACACCATGGATAGCTTTAGTTTCAGCGGGCTCTAATGGCATTGCACCATGGGCCGGTTTTTGCAGATAAGAGGGTGATAATTTGTGCACTATGTTTCATTCAGTTTGTTGTCTATTCCATGCGGAATCCTGTTGTTTATCGGACCGGGAAAAATGTTAAACGAGTTAAGTCGTTATGTAAGCCTTAACCATGCAGGCACTTTTTCGCTGCAGCTCACTTAAGTTAAAAATTTCTAGACTGAGATGACACCGGTTTGGAACTTCGCGAAGTCAGCTTACTGAATAAATGTTCTAAAATTTGCGTCATTTTAAATTTGGACTCGTTGGAATGCTTTTTCACAGGAAAAAATAACGGATTCCCATTTTTGGATATTTTAGGGTATTTAAAGAATACCCATAAAAATCCCAAATTTGGCAAAGTGAGACAAGTCCCAAGTAGGGAATTCCCAACCAAGTTCCCTGATTGGGACTTGTCTCACTCTTCCAAATTTGGGATTTTTTTGGGTATTTTTAAATACCCTAAAATATCCAAAAATGGGAATCCGTTATTTTTTCCTGTGTTTGGGACCATTAACGGACTGCCCGGCGTCATATAAAGGCTTTTAACCGGCCTTTGAATGAGTTTTGTTGTTTTAAATTGCCAAGTAGTAGAATGAGTTGATATTTTTGCTAACCCGGTTTTCAAAAATCCAGGTATATCATATATAAATGAGGTACAATCATCTACAGGGCTGTCAACCCCCCACGTCTTCAAATATTAAGAACTGATAGGGAAGGGATGATAGATGACGTCATAATGCACTGCACATGACGTCATTTGTACAAAAAAAAAAAACGCGCGAAACCTGACCTGATTGGTTTACTTCCCACCAATCACTTTATTGCTTACATTACAATGGGATACACCGAAGTTTGCGAGGAAAAGTTTGACATTCACAGCAAAATAGCTCAAACAACGCAAAATTTCATTGTCGGAAAGTCGAATCTACAAGAAATGGTAAACTTGGGCGATTATCCGGGAGATTTCAGACTCTAATCTGGAGACCGAGAGAAACTGTTCAAAATGTGGAGTCTCCAGGATCCATCCGGGAGAGTTGAAAGCACTGCATCTATGGCATCAGACAGATCCTTCATGAAATCATTAATTAAAATGAGTGTGACCAAAAATTGATCCCTGAGCTTTTTGGTAGCCCTGCTGACCAAAGAGCTAGCTGTCCATATGCTTCGTACGGACAACCCGTTATTACGGACACGTTCTATGGCCTCCTCGGTTTCCGTATAAACGGCAAATTAGAGGAAAATAAAGCCCACCTTCAACAAACAAAAATTTTGAAAGCTCACCACCTTTCCTACATTTCTCCATGACCGTCTCGCTGCTGCAAACAGATTTTGCATCTCCTTCTTTCAAATCGTAAACACACTTTTCCACAGTCACGACCAAATCTACACCGTACATTTCTTTGCAGGAACAATGAATTATTTGAAAATGGCATGTTGATGGGTGACCTAAGAGTTCTGAACGAGAAACGACCACTGAGTAGACTGTAATAAACACCAGGAAGTCCTTTGGTACCATTGCTGTCCGCCGCTAGAGTCCGCTAGACGTCGTGTTTGTGCAGTTCTTAGGAGTTAAGAAGTTACACTCCCGTATTTTAAGCGATCTTAAGCTGAAATAAAAACTTCCTTTCAATACAAGTTGAGTAAATTAACGAGTGAAAACAGGTGTCATTTGACTGAAATCAGATCCCCTCGACTTCCGCTCCCTTGATCGATTGCAGCGAGGATGTTGTATTTGAGTTAGTTTGAGTTACAAAACGGTCAATATTGTCGTTTTCAGTTTATGTTACCAAAAAAATGTTAAATCTGTCATAGACTCAGCTGTATTGCATTGAACGACGCGGCTTATGGTCTTTCTTAAGCTGAAATAAAAACTTCCTTTCAATACAAGTTGAGCAAATTAACGAGTGAAAACAGGTTTCAGTTGACTGAAATCAGATCCCCTCGACTTCCGCTCCCTTGATCGATCGCAGCGAGGATGTTGTATTTGAGTTAGTCTGAGTTACAAAACGGTCAATATTGTCGTTTCCAGTTTATATTACTAAAAAAATGTTAAATCTGTAATAGACTCAGCTGTATTGCATTGAACGACGCGGCTTATGGTCTTTCCGAGGAACGCTGATTTCGGTCGATGGAGGGGGACATGGGGGTTTACGGTATTGTGGTATCGGGCTTTTTTTCTTGTGGTATTTCGGTAATTTTAATTTTAACTTGCGGTATTGCGGTATCATCTACCTCTGCGGTATGCGGTTTTTCATCATTTTGGCTGACGGTATTAGGTGAAATTTGATTGTTCACGGTATTACGGTAACGTTTATTTGCGCTTTCCTTTCGACACAATACGCAAAACAAAACACAGTAGGACATAAAGGTCACTAAAAGTTAATTGCCCCCGCAGGGATTTCGCCCAGAGGCGAAATCCCGAGGAGGCACCCTAGTAACTCGCGCGTATATTAAGGACAGTACTTACAGTTCAAATATACAGTCAGTATACTAGAAAACATCTCGATTTGCTCGAACAGGGCTCTCTGTGCTGACTTATTCCCTGCTCACAGCACAGGTAGCCCAAGCTCGAAATGTTGCGTAACATTCAAAATATACGGATTTGTATGGGAAGAAAACCTATCGTTTCCGTAACCTACGAAAGTGAAAGGATTTCAATAAAAACCGTTTACCTTACTTAAAATGTGTGTTACGTCTCTCCTGTGTGGTCCACGGGCCGATTTATGGCCGTTTTATGGGTTTTAATGTAAACGGTTTTCTCTCTATGTAAAGGTTTACCAAGGTTGGGCACTCCAGCGAAGCGGCTCGACTGATCCACCGAAGGAAAACGGCCGTAAATTCGCTCCAACTGCTCCAATCGCCTCCAAATTCCGCCTAGGTAACACACGATAGTTCTTCTTTCCATTCGTTATCTTGCTTCAGGACTCCTTTGCACCGAGAGCGAATCAAAGGTTGCAAATGTCTGGAACCTTTCCCGTCTGAAGCCATCGACTGAGGCTCGGCCTGAACTCCGCGTTACCGTTGACAGAAAGCGACACTATAGTTGACACAATAGGAAAACAACGGGAGCAAGAGACTGTCTCCCACCCCAAGTGTGAGTAATTTGAGTCTCAGGCCGTGTCGCTATCTGTCAACGGTAACGCCGAGTTCAGACCGAGCCTCAGTCGATGGCTTCAGACGGGAAAGGTTGCAGGAAGTTGGTGACTGCTCTTTGGAATTCATTAAGGCTGCGATAAGCAAAGCCGAGCTTGGCAAGGGCTTTGCCCTTGCCCTGCCCTGTCACCAACTTCCTTGGCAATGATGACGTATTTATTGTTGTACTCTATTGCTCTTTGGAATTCATTAAGGCTGCGATAAGCAAAGCCGAGCTTGGCAAGGGCTTTGCCTTGACATGCCCTGTTACCAACTTCCTTGGCAATGCTGAGGTGTTGATTGTGGTACTCTATTGCTCGTTGGAATTCGCTGAGGGATTCATAAGCATCGCCGAGATTGCCATAGCCACATCGTTCTGCTGCCCTGTCACCAATTTCCTTGGCAATGCTGATGTGCTGGTTGTGGTACTCTATTGCTCGTTGGGAGTCACCGAGGGATTGGTAAGCACAGCTGAGATTGCGATAGGCACGTCCAAATAGGAGAGCTTGCTCGCAGGCTAACAGCAATGTGCACCGTTTTCTGTTCAATTTAACAACAATGGGTGACAAAATTAGTTGAGATGGTTTGTTCCAAAGGGTCTTTCTATGGCGTTTTACTACCTGGAACTTATATTTGGGGGGACACTCCGATATATGCTCATGAGATAATGAAATTTCAGATTTGGCCCAGTGCCATTGTTGGAGCTGGTTTATTTTGGAATTATCAGTCAAAAGTAACTCTTGATAGCAAAGAGTTCGCGATGATGATAGATACTCAACGCAAGGTGAGTCGTTATGTTAGATTTATCGAGCAACTTATAATTGTCCTGACCTGACTGGTCAAACGTATTGCCTACTACTGGTAAGGTCACAGAGCCAAGTTAAAAGAAATTGAGCGAACTTTCTGCACACCCCTCAACCGCCAGAGGGCTTCCGTGTGTAACCACGTCCCTTTTATTACTCGTGACGTCATCAGTTTAACGGTCATTGTCCAACCTCGTTTCCAGTGTTCTCTCTCTTCCTGCGAGAGAGAATCTTTCTTTCTTGAAGCAAGAAAGAGAACTCTGGGAGCGAGGATGGTCATTGTCAACTTTGACACTTAACTTGTGCAGGGGGACAAGATCTTTGCAAAACCATAGCCAAATAAGCACCGTTCAGTGAAACATGAACGAGAAAATTGGCAACAAATAATGTAACTTTAACTAGAAAATATTCCAATGAAACTCTTGTCTCACAAGCCTACTGAAATGCCTTGAAATGCACTTCTTGAACTTCGGGGATTTTGCGAAAACCTCTTCCTGCGAAAAATAAAGCACTGTTAATGCCCAGGAAAAGAAAGAAAGACTTGGGAAAAGCGAATAAATCAAGGAGGAAAAAATTGACTGCGTATGCCCTAACTTTGAAAGGCAAAAAAGTTGCCCTAGGTTGCTGGTACTACAAAGAGTTGCTCAAAACGCTAAAAGTTGCTCAAAAGTTGCCGAGCACAATCTATTTTCGCTACTTCCGGGTGTAAATGTGACGTCCTCACTAGATGTGGTCAAAAGTATCCACAGCCCTATTGACTAATTCTTAGAATAAGTTAGCTTAGGAAGAGTGATTTTATGTGGCATATCTTATTTATCTTATCGAGAACTCCACACACTGAAAGGTTTAGAGCTTAAAATTTGGCTTAAGTTATTGCGACAAAATACTTGTTAGAATAGTTCTTGATGTGCTCTTTCGTGTGTTCAGGTTTTCTAACGCGTCTTTAAATGCCCTGCCCTGACATCTTCATTAATAACATTTTGAATTTTCTACGCCATCTTGGCATTGAGACGTACGGAACGTTGCCATGGCAATTTTGTAATGTCACAAGTGAAATTATATATTAACGCTGAAATTTCGTGCCAAAATTAAGGAGTAATCTATCACCCATGACGTGATATCACCCTTGGCGGTGTTGGTTCCCCCCCACCGGGTTGTCATGGTTACCTCTCGTGCTGCCTTGCGGCTCCCTTCTTTTGAACAGGCTACTTCCCCACACCCATTTCTACTGTCGAGGGGTTTAATCAAGGACTAGCTTAGCCACGTCATGTTTTCTTCCTTTTGAATTTTTTTGCTAAATTTTTCAAGTTTGTCTTTCCCATCCATGCTTATATCCTCAACCATCCTTAATTTATTATAATGGCTAATAACTCTGTGCATGAATTTTTCTTTTCCTTGCAAGTCCGTTTGCAAGATATCTTTTTTGAAATAAATTTATATACATATAACCAAAATTATTAGACGTTGTACTTAGTGAGTGCCNTTCAAGTTTGTCTTTCCCATCCATGCTTATATCCTCAACCATCCTTAATTTATTATAATGGCTAATAACTCTGTGCATGAATTTTTCTTTTCCTTGCAAGTCCGTTTGCAAGATATCTTTTTTGAAATAAATTTATATACATATAACCAAAATTATTAGACGTTGTACTTAGTGAGTGCCTTCTCATTGGCTAAGAGCCTACAGTTTATTTTGAAAATAAGCGCAACCTACAGATTAGTTAATTATCTGCTAGCAGATAACTGACTTGTCTGCAGTTTGCGCGCACAATGCATGATTTCCGAGAGCAATGTCAAACTATGTTCACTGCGACGGTGTGTTGTTATTTTCTTCAAAACAATGTGTGACTAGTTTAACTTTTTGTAATACCCGGAATAGGCCGGTAAGTGTTATCAGCCTCAGCCTTCGGCTTGGCTGGCAACACCTAGACCTTTGATTATTCCGGATATCATAAAATCTCATTCAATAGGTGTTCAATATAGGCACTGGTGAACATGACCATGTTTGGAAATATGTACGGTAGTGCGTGCTTCACGATTGACCAGGTGTGTACTGAAACTTGACTTTGCCCATGCCTGGAGAGGAAAATCTATAAATGTTTACAATCGCACCATTCACTATTTATGTGTTTTTGGGATGAAAGAAGATTGAAGATTGGATAAATAAATAGCGACTGGGTACGAGTCTGGAGTAGTTGGCCGAGAGGGATTGGCGAAATAATTCCCAATCCTAACTTCCGCTTCATATTTACTTCCGTTTTTCTGGGTTTCAGTCCTCCCTTCTACTCGTTTATTAACGCCACGGTTCGAATACCCGTTACCCATGCACACTGCGACGAAGAGTTGCACAGAAAGTTGCACAGGTGCTGCTTCAATTGAAAGTGGCAAGATTGCTTGGATTAACGATGAAATTCTAATTTTGATAAATATGGACAAAAGTTTCCTTTGCTGTGTTAAAGGTACATCCCGAGATGTCGAAAAATTGGTTTGAACACGTTTTTGTTTTCCTGTGTCATTTGACTGCCAAGAGACCCGTGACACGGTTGTGGGTCACTACCATGGTATTCTTTGAAAATATAATTAAATGAGTTTTTGGTGCCTTTATGCTTCTTATGACGTTGTATGGCGAAACGAGGTCAAACGGTTTTCATCAAACTTCTGCTTGAAAGTGGGTTTTCTTGCTTGAAAACCGATTTACCTAGCGGGATGATGACAGAACCAGAAACTTGCCTTAAAATATGGAAAAAACGTCTTATAATCGAAAATGTTTAGCGCCTCTGAGGGGGGAGTGGTTTGTTGACCAAATATTGACTATTCCAATTCAAAGAGAAGTTGTTTTAAAATGATTGAAGGCATCGAAGAGATCAACAATCACAGTAAACATCTCGTTTTCTTCAGGTTTAATACAAGATTACTTCTCTGAAGGTAACATCAGAAACTAAACATTGTATCTTGCAACGTGTTGGGATCAAGTAGAAGCAGTTCAACAAGCCGACCTATAAGTCACCTCATTTAAGAGAATCCACGATAGTCTGGGATTCTGGATTCCACGTCACGGATTCCGGATTACAGGTACTCGATTCCAGTCTTTGTCAGGGGAACTTGGATTCTCAATTCCAATTGCTAGTGGGAGTCCGGATTCTTTGAGCTGTACTCCGGACTCCAAAACCCAGGATTCCGGATTCCACATGCAAATTTTTCCCAGATTCCGGATTCCGTCACATGGGGCGGTATAAGGGATGAACCATTAGGAAAGTAAAGGGGCTGGGTTGAATTCTTGGGAGGTCTATGAAAGTTTTCTTTTTACCCCTGAGGTGGAAATCGAAATCTATTTTTCCTTCTCGAACAGCTTTTTTGATCATGGTGCGTGTGGAGACATTTTTCCGACTATTAAATGCGTTTGCCTCCCCCCAACCTCCTATCCTTTTTTCTAATGGTGACATCCCTAAAAGTCAATGGTCTAGAGAAAAGGGATCTAAAAGCAGTAAAAATAGGTCAGATTCTCGATAGAATGATGATAGCTTGAACGATTGCTGTTATTTCCTAACGCCAAACCTCAGAACGTTTCTGTGTACGTATTTTGGAACTGATCTACTTGATAAAAAGCCCAACTTTTACAACCTAGCACAATTATAACAAAACATCATTAAGTTATTGGAGCGTCCAAAATCTTAATTTAATCTCGTCCACTGTTTGGATACTTTAAAGTCGACATCAATTAAAGCTGTTGGACCACTAACGCATATAGTACACAATAACGTTTCTTATGATTGAAATGACTCGCAGTAATTAATTAAGAAACAAGATTAAGAGTTAAACCTAGTTTAATGGCAGAACAAAGAGTCTACAAGTGCAGAGACAGAGGCGGATTCAGCTCTACAAGGAAGTGGTAGTGGAAAAAAAGAGAAGGAAAATAAATCTTGTTTTCGGTTGAAAATTAGATTTCGGGCCCTTTTTCCTTTGTTTGCAGGCATGGAAGGACTATCTTGCAACGCTTTTCCCAAAAAAGGGTTATTAAAGCAAGGCAAAAGTCACTCTAATGATTCTTAGACGGTCCAATTCGGCAGCGGTCACTCGCTTTCGTCTCTGCGCAGAATATTCAATGTATCATCGAAAACTTACTCTTAAAACTACGAGCATACTAATTATTCCCAAACATGGAGGGCAAAATGTGTACTCTTTGTATGAAACGCTAATAATTTATCCATATAAGTTAAACTCGCCCCTGAAATCCCATTTTACTAGAATTTAAAAGCAGTTTTAATTAAGTGACACAATGTGTGTCCCAATTTATAACATCAGTACAGAATGCAGACTGCTCTCAGTGCAAAACATTGTTTTCACCATGCAAATGTAACGTGACAACAATAGTCCCATTGACAAATGCATATGAAATAAATCATATATGAGAACTGCGGAAATGAAATCAAATGAAGAATGATCCTCGCAGTTGTGAAACCACTGAATTGTGACCAAAATACTTACAGTGCATACTTAAACATTTTAAAATTATAAAAATTATCTAATTAAAATCTGAATCACTCTAATGAAACCACGGCCACGCTTGTAAATAGTTAATTGGTTCGTCTCCGTCCCGTTGGAATTCTTAACCCTCGGACGTACAAGGGGGGTGCCTCCCCCCCTCTGAGGTTTCTTAGATTTTTTTAGACGATAAAAAATCAGCACCTGACGTTTTCAGTGGCTGTTCGTTTATTTCTCGAGCGCATTTTAAGGCAATTTTAGTG